GCGGCCCGCTTTCGTCAGAACCGCGACCGCCTTTCGCAGGATCGGCAGCGGTATGCCAGAGAGCGGGGAGGGGACTGGCGGCTCCACGATCTCGTAGAACGTCATGATCGTGTTCAGTTGCCCCATCGAGTTTGCCTGGAAGTGCCGAGGTCGTCGGGATGAGTGCCGAATGCTGCACGCAGAACACGGGTACCTACCCAGTCGTAGAGCACTTGGGCCCATTCCTCAGGTGAACGCCAGTACAGCAGGACAGACGAGGTCTGCCGCGGGGGCTCGTACACCGCGTGACCCCTTTCCACCATATCCGCCAGTATCGCGTTCAGATGGGAGGAGAGCAATCGTCCTATTGACCCTTTCATTCGGAATCCAGCACTTCCAGCGCTTGGGGCCAATCACGTACGGTTGATCCTGGGGTTGCGGAGGATCTCATCCCAGTCGCCCCCAGGTGCGTCCGCATCCTCCGTGCGAAGGGCGAAGAGCCCCTTGTGCCGTGCGTAGGATAGAATCAAGCGCGTCCAGTTTTGAGCGACGCTAGCCTGCGTCGCGGGGTTTGGTTGCTGCCTAGGTGTGGGGGTAGTCAGCACGCGTGGGCGATGGTCCGAGAGGATCTTACGTGAAAAATGGGGGTGCTGAATGAATTGAAGGGAGCAGAAAACCTGCATCGGGACCCCGAAGGTGAGTCCGGGGTTTAAGTTCGTGGCGCCAGCATCGTAGACCCTACCAGATTGTGTTTTATACGTCGAGAGTGCCATCTGCCTAATGGGCGATACTGGCTATTGACTTCTTACTGCAGGCAGGACCTACACCCCTATTGAGATGGGAAGGCGGAAGCACTTCCGTAAGAACTGAGGGATGTTGTTGTCGAAGATCGTAAATGAAGTGCTGTGACCCAGAGAATTGGCCAAAAACGTCAGTGGGGGTCCCACAAACGCATTAGGCGCCTGCCAGGAGTGGGGCTTTCAGTTAAATGCCAGGTGATGCCAGCGACGATCGTCGTGAATTCAGTACACGGGTCCACACTAGTACAAATAGCTACGACGACGCTCAATCTATGGCTCGTCTCTGCACTATCACGAATCAAACGCAGGTATCAGATCTTCGGTATTGACGAAGTTCAATGGGCGGAGGCGCTAGTAGCTGTAGTCAGCGCCGAGTTCCTGGGACCCGGCCATCTGTAATCAGAGTCACCTGTATAGGCTGTACCGTATACGATTTGAGCTATCGTATGCGTCGAGCGGGCGGGCGAGGATCGTGAGGTCACGCCATGAAATTACGCCTACGCTTTCTGGTTACTTAGTAGAGAAAAATGACTGTGACAGCCTGGTCCCCAGGACCTGTTCGATGTGGATCGGTCCAGAGTCTGGCCAACGATATGTATCTGTCTTATGTATGAGGTCAGAAAGCCCGTAGATATCGGCGAATTTCATTGTGCTGTTGGTTGTACTGAGGTAGGTACACCGCCAAGGACAAAGTGGTGCGTGGATAGTGGGGTTTTCCACTACAAAACTCCGCAAGACCGATTCAACGACCTCATGCAATGACGTGTGTCGTACGCTGGTCAAAGGAATGAGGGGGAAAACGATGCGTTGCCCGGGTCCGCATCGCAGAACTTGTCTCGAGAGTCGACGGTGAGAGGGTAAAACGAACAGCCGCATAACTTATCATACAATGGCATACCATACGCCAGGCGAAACACCCTTCGGAGGATCGGGAGCTCGAGGCCTTCAAGCGCCGCGCGCATGCGGGGTCGGAGTCGGCGCTGGGGTCAGAAGAGGTCCGAAGGACGGTTGCTCCAAGCGGCGCTCCCCGCAGTCGCCCATGTAGAGGACGGGTATTAGTTGTTGAGATTCGTGGTATTGTGTTTCTATATTTTAGACCTAGACTGGATATCAGAAATCCATGCCGGCAAACATGCAGTAAGTGCCTCTTGGGGGTTGGGTCTTCGCGACCGAGGATTTGGCGCGGACCATTTCCGCTGGGTGGCGCCACGCACTCGGCAACACAAAGGACGACACGAAGATCTCCAGTCAGAAGGGTTCCATCGGCGATTCTTGGGTTTCCACAGAGCATTGTGGATGGTAATCCTAGTGTAGAACTATGCATTTTCGACCCGTTGAACCGGAGTTAATCGGTGTCAAAATTGAGCGGGGCGTATATATACATAAGTAGATGAGCCAGCAACGGCAAGGGCCAGTGGCTGGCACGACTTGCCCGTTTATACCGTCTACGGTCTGCTTTGTACACGCATAACTCTCTGCGTCGGCTCCTTGCACCCACTGCCTTCCACGCATGCATCTTCATCAATGTCAACGGCGACGTTGATAGTGACGACGCCGACATCCTTCGACATCACTCCCTAGACACGATGTGTTGTCCATCCGGTAGCGAGCCCCTAGTCAGAGTGAGGCGCAGCGAGGGCAGCGTAGGCGAGGATGGGCAGGCGCAGGTATGTTCCATTCCCGAGGCATCGTCACCATGTCTACACAAGTACGTTTTCCGACACCTGCAACGCCGGATCAGCCTTGCTCTAGGACTCCTGCCTATGGTGACTTGCCATGAGTGTCATAGGCTTCAGGATCATCCGTCGTTGCAGTGTTTGTCAAACCCCTTCGTCATCCATCGACGGGTCCCGTATCGTCCTTAGCGACGCGCAATGCTTCCCCTAGGCGAAGCCTCTCTATTAGTATTCAAGCGGCAAATTTCCCTCGTCAATAAGGCGTTCATTGTTCCTACATGGAAGCATAGAACTTGGGGTTGATGAGAGGCTAGTAAGCCACCGAGCATTGCGAGAAGGTCTCGATACAGCGTTCGATGCAGTCTGCGGTACTGGTCGGAGATCCAGTACAGCCTTCGCCTACTTGCTATTGAATGTATGGGTTCGGCTTCGCCTCGACGGGTAAAGGTGCTGTTAACATTACACCCCGTCAATCTGTAGCAGATAGGACTCGGCGACGCAAAATAGGCGTTGACGAGCCCTATAGCTCATATTACACGCCTTCGCAACGCGCGAGGGATGACATTTCACGGTGCATGTGGATATGAAAGGGAGAAAATGTAGCTACGCACCCCCTCGGTTTAATGATGCGGTGCATTCTCCTGCATGCCCACACAGCAGACCAATAATTTCGTCATGAATGTTGGCGGGAAGTATGCTCGTGCAGCAATGTTGTGGATGAGCCGACGACCTAGCTTTGCGTACTGTGAAGATCCGATTTTATGCAAATGATGCGTCCCCAGTTCGGCTATGGTGCGATAGTAGGCATGGTTGGGCTCTAGAGGCGGAGGTAGTAGCACGGCGGTGATGGTATCTCTGACTCTGCGAGCCCACAATCATAGAAGGAAAAATGAGTGACCCCACAAGAATCTAACAGTGTGGTAGTTGTTGAAGTTGTCCTAGTCGTTGGTACAAGTCTGACATTGTCCCAGTGAAGTCGTGCCAGCCAAGGTGGGCTCACTGTGAGTGAGCCACCAAATCCGGCAATCTCGTCTTCCAAGTGCTCTCCCGCCGTAACGCCAACCATACCATTCACCATGACCATGCCGTCTTCAGCGCCATCGGGCTAATTCTTACCCCCTTCCTATCCTTGAGCATATGCCCACCCCATCGGGACCTCACTGCACCCGAAGCATAACTTTGAGTCTTTCCTTTTACCGCAGACGAGAAACGCCGTCCTCGTCGTCATCCAGGTTCGGGACATCCTATCGTATTCGCCGAACCGGGGTTTCGGCTGGTGGAGTGCTGTTCATGAAGTGGGACGCTCCGCAGCTCGAAGTGGATTGCGTTTCCTGCAGGCGGCATGCACGGGAGCTTCGGGCTATGGATGGACCAAGATGACTGCGACGAAGGCCCTTGTACGTGTCGGTGCGTTCTTCCAATTACCTCCGAGAAGCATCTATGGCCACCCATCCCTCAACGCGATTCGACGGGCCACGCTAGGTTCAAGGGCTCGAGCTACACACGGTCGGCCATGTCAGGACTCGGCGATATCGTTTTGAGGACGACACCGCCTCATTGCAATGGTCCCTGAAGCATTTTCCCGCAGGTGTCCTGATCGAAGCTGGCCGACGGCGAGTCTGGATCGTCCGAAATCCACCACCGATACCAAAATACAGGATTAAAAATCCCCGAGAATTCAGCCACAGCGGTACTCGGGCATCCCCCGCCGATTTTCGCTTCCGGGCTCTGCGCCCCCAAGATTACCATGTACGTAGTTCCCCGTCCCCTCACGCACAAGGATTTGTCAAACCTGACCTCATAGCACAGACCCCGTGGTCTCTAGCCTATGACCACGCCCCCAGAACACGGGCTTTTGAAAAATGGGTACATTTCAGGCAACAGACACGAACCTGTCGTGTGCTGCTAGCTCTTGCGCGCTTCCACTACGATTGGCTTGCTCGGTGGCTTCCCCATCATGCTGGACGGCCGCTCGAACTGGGAGGCTGTTCATATTGCGCCAGTCCGCTACCCCCCAGCGAAGTATCCTACATTCCTTCGCTGATCACTTTCATGGCCCGGCGGCGTACTACCCATCGTCTCCTGTCCAAAAGAGCATATTCCCGATGATTTAGGAAGCGATCGCCTTCCTTCCCCCTTCCATGGCTCATGCTTTCTTCGCTGAGACGGCCTTGGGGAAGAGAAATTTAAGAAGAAGGCGCCAGGCTACCCCCAGGTTTGGACCCGAGGACGTAGGCCCGCCAAGAAGCTAGTTACGGCACGAGCGGCGCTGCTTGCACGGAGAAGTTTGCAATATGGACGGACCAACCTGACGTACCCCTCCCGGAGTGTCCCCAAACCCCCTACGGTGCTTAAGGCGGAGATGTCTATTGAGGCCGACAGGCTGAAGGTATAGTTGCCAGTGCGGCGAGCTGACCTTCCGCCGTGCATTTACCAAAGAATCCTGGGGTGCGTGCATTGTTTACTAGGCTGTCGGTTTCGATGACCAATCATCTTCGAACCGGAGATGGCAGCCCATGATGGTTCCACGAAGACCTTTTACAGCTCTCTGTTAGTATATCGGTTAGTACACGCGCTTGTCATTCAACATGATCGCGCGAAAGCGGGGTTCGACTCCCCGACAGAGAGAAATTCTTTTACTTCGAATGTACAGCAAGACTGCCCACGTCCCAGCCAATGAACGCTATGGCGACGTTTACAAACAAATCATGAATTCCCTTTTTATCTGTGAGAGTGGAGTACGGCATTATGCCTGTGTCTCGCCAGCGTGAGCTACTACTTATTATCAATTGGTGTGCACATGAAGTAACACGATTACGACAGTCATATTACAAGTAGAGATACCTCATCATCCCAAGACTACCAAAATAGAGCAATCGCGCGGAGAGCATGAAACGCTATATTGATCACTCGCTCTCATCGCCCAAGAAAGCCATGATGCTCTGACGAGCGGTCTGCAGAGATGGTCAGGGCCAATGAAGACGACAACTATTGACGACATACGCGGCGCTTGGGAGCCCTTTCGATCTCAGATTCTTCCGCATCCTCTTCATTGTCTTTGGTCTGGTCCCGGCGGCGCTTGGATGGTCCCGAACTAACCTTGTTCGCAAACTCCTGTACGTCCTCTGCACGGCGAAATTCTGAGGATTCCATGCTAAGGAGCGGACGATGAATTTTAGGACGTACCAAGCTCTTGTTCGAACTCGCGTTTTGCCTTGATAGCTTTGGCTTGTTCCATGCTCATGCGCCCCGTCATGCCTAGGTCGGTCAGCATCTGCCGGAGCCGGCGGATTTGGTCGGGGAGTTTGTCGAGGTCCTTGAATTCCTTAGACCAAACTTTCCGCACGCCGCAGGCTACAACGAAAGACTATATAGTAATGGAAGGGTGTTAGTAGGGGTCGCGCACGCAGAGCATTAACGAACCTTCAGTCTCTTGATTGTCTCCTCGTCCTTGGACAACTCCTTGGCAGGATCTTTCTTCTTCCTCCCCTTGGCAGCTTTCGTCCCCTATCAAACATGTGAGGAAAGCCTATGGGCCAAATAGGAGCGACTTACTTTCGTCTCCTGTTTAATCGAGTCAAGAAGCGTAATTGGACACATATGGACCTATACATACCTCGTTATCGCACTTCTTCTTCCGTTTCCGCACAGGCGGTTCGTCGACGAGGACCGACATCTCTGATTCGCTCTTCTATAGGTAAGTAATCAGTGTCATGATCGGCACCGGGGGTAATATGATCGGAGAGAGATGGCATACCGGGTCATCGTTGGCGCCATGAACGGATTCTGGTCGGGTCGAGTCGGCAGATGCAGAAGAATCTGGGTTGGCAGACTGCGCCCATCCTTCACGAGATGTGGGAGTAGTAGTAGATTTCTTCAAACGCTTGGACGGGGGTTCCGAGGATTGATCGTCGGAGTCAGAGTCCTGAAGGTAGAGTCAGGGATGTCTCCGAAACGAACGTGTCAGAACAGGAAAACTCTCACCTCTGACTCGCTAGCGACGCGTTTTGTCTTCGAGTTCTTCGCCGAAGCCGTCCGGGACTTTGGTTTCTCGCTAGATGACTTGGGGTCGGGAACGTTGCCAGCTTCTTCGTCCGATGTTGGCACTACCGACTGTGCATACGTCAGTGAACTACTCGTCTAGTAACACCTACGTGCCGAAGGCATACCGCGGATCTAACTGCTTGCTTGGGTTTTCCGGACTTCTTGGATGTAGGTTTGGTCTCCGTGGCTAGCATTGCTTCGGGTTGCACGTCTTCAGTAGGGGAAACAACCTGCACAGGAGCGTCTTCCGTGACATGATGAATAGGGCCCTCCACGACGGACTTTGTAATGTCCTCTTCCGCAATGGGCTTGGCAGGTCCATTCTTAACGGTCGGCTTGGTAGGGATGACCTCAGATTCGGGTATGCTCGAACCGCCCTTAGAATCAGGTTCAATACGACTACCATCTGGCTCTGGTACCGCCTGGGGATTGGCATCCTGCTCCGCCAGCCTCTTTTGCTCCTCCAACTCATTCTGCGCAGCATATTTTAGTGAACCAAGCTTGGACAAGGAAGTGTCGATGTGGACCTACGATGTAATCCTTTGCTACCGTGTTAACCACTTTCTTGTACTCAGGTGCATTGAGGGTTCCTCGAGGTAGCGACATGACTCTCTCTACACCACTGCGATACGTTCCATATGTAAAATCACTTTGAAACTGGTTAGCGGGCGCGAAGAAGGGGAGCGGAGGGCGTGCCGGTAGCACTCACTGTAACTTGTCTGTTTTGACTAATTTCGTGATGAATTCAAGCGCGGTTTCCCGCAACTTGTCCATGTCCACCTCCATATTGTTTATACCTCGAATTAACCACGCTTTCAAGGTAGGAAGATGTTGTTGGTGTCTGTTCGAGCTGCGGGGTGCTGGTGGTCCGAGAGACAGTGGCTGGGACTCCGAATTCCCCTTTTGCCGAGACGCGTCGCGCTCACGCGCGGCACTGACGCGTTTGCACTTGTTTGTCCACTTACAATTGGGAGCGCTTAAACCACAAGGCGCCCTAAGCACAAAAGACTTGCCAGATCGATCGAGTACTAGGCCGCAGATCGTGAGCCAGCTGAGGAAGCCTCAGGAAGGGTAAGAGCATGCATAAGTATTGGCTACATTCACGACAGATATCCAAAAGAATAAGGGCTACAAATTATAGGGAAAGAATACATATAGTAGAACATGCAAGCTGCAGGGATATACAGATCTCGGGGCATGATGTTAAGTGTGAGAGGCCACAGAAAGTGTAGTGCGTACCGTCGTCGTCAAAATACAAGCTAGAACACGATAATACCCGAAAATCCACGTCTAGCACATCCTTACGGTTCATATCCGAAGCGAAGCTGTAGAACTCGCTCCCCAGTGGGGAGCCGGGACGTCGGATCCCGGGTATGCCTATAGATCGCCCTTCTTGCCGCCCATAGCACGTAGAAGGCCTCGAACGCTCATGACGACCGGCTTGGAACCGGTGGAGACCTTCTTCGCCGAGATCGGCGCGCTCTGTTGCACGGGTGGGAAGGAAGCTTGGGGCTGCGCGGGTGCGTGCGTACGGCGTGGCGCATGAGTGGGTGCAGGCGCGGGTGCCGGCGCGAAAGAGGAGGCGAGGAAGTCGTCCCGGACGCGTTCAGCGTCTAGAGGGTTCGTCGGGCACTTGAACGCGGGGCTTGGGGGCGTCAGAGTGAGAGGCGCAGGCCGTCTGCGCTGCTTGGCCTGGGCCTGCTGCCTTTCCGCAGCGCGCGGGGCTGCGATCGCGGTGGGAGGGTACGCGCCGCCAGGCACGGGGAACGCGTCGAGGAGGAACTCGGGCTTGCGCAGGTGCTTCGCGGTGCGCCGCGTGCGTGCGGGGATCGCAAGGACGGACATACCGGGCCGTCGGGCGCAGGCTGGTGCTAAGGCGCTACCGAACGCCGCGAGGTCGTCGCGTTCGTCCTCTGCGCCCATTGCGTACCGCGGATCGAGGTCAGAATCCTGGCTGGAGACGCTGCCCCTGCGAACTTCACCATCCGCCTCGGCAACAGCGACCAGAGAAGGCTTGCGCGTCTTCGTCGGCGAGCCGAAGCGGACCCAGCTGCCGTCCTCACTCCCGCAAAACTCCTCGTCGCCGCCGAGCAAATGCGCGTACTCCCATTCCTCGTCTTGGTCGCGCCAGAGGCCGCCAGCGCCGTCGCGATACACGTCCGACACGCCCACCAGACGGCCATCGCGGGTAAACTCTGCGGCGCCGCCCGCCTTGGCCTGCGCCTCTGCGAATCTCCTAATATGGTCCTCGAGCGACCCGCCATCTGCGAGTTGCGCAAGGGCAAGCTCCGTCGCGAGCGGAGGGGGGCGGAACTTGGCGTACTTGGATTTCTTGGACGCGCTCACGGACGCACTTGCCTGAGCACGCGACGCCTTGGAGTGCGTGGGTGACTTCTTCGCGTTCGCGGAGATAGAGAGGGCAGGTGACGGCGGGCCACGCATGTTGATAGACTTTGAACGGACGCGGCGAGTGGGACGGAGAGCAGAGAGCGAGCGGAAGGACTTAAGGCCTTTCGTAGGTCTGACGGGGCTGGAAGGGGAACGCGGGGGAGAACGACGGGCACTAGTCGAAGGAGGACGGGTCTTGCTAGTAAATGGGGACGCCGAGGAAGGAGTCTCCGGGAAGTGCACAAATACAGACGTGTAGCCGACTGCGGTCAGGTCAGGCTTGAAATCCCGGACAGACGGAGTGATGATGAGACGCGAGGCGGTGGTCGGTGTGTCCGCAAAGCTAAGAAACGATGCCGAGTGCGGGCTCCCGGACACGGAGGGACGCCGGGAGGTGAGGCAGGGAGAACCGCCTGAGGCGCGACGGGCGCTAGAGATAGATGAGCGGCGGCGCGGAGAGCGCGGGGCAGGCGAACCCGGGTGGACTGCGGCAACCCACGCCGAGATGGCTGAAGTGGTAGCAGAACGGCGCCGCGGGTAAGATGGCGCACAGGAAGGCTGTCTGGGCGCAGGGGGAGGCGACGGGAGGGCTTGCGTAGGGCGCTTCTTCTGCGGAGGTGGGTAGGCAAGGAAGGCGTAGGCGGGCGCTGCTGGGGCTGGGACGTGCGCGAGGGCGTCGACAGAGTTGGCGATGTTGTTGTTAAAAGCAGCAGACATGAATGTAATTTTAGCGGACTGGCGTGGAAGGGAAACGTCTGGCAGATGCGATGACACGGGCTCAGACTCGGGCAGCTCTAAGTCTCAGACAATATTGGTATACTCACGGGAGCTGAAACAAGCGTGAACGGTTCTAAAACGCGATGTAAAGTGGGCGAATGCTGGCGAGCCGAAGTCGAAGATGAGATGCTGGATAGGGCTACAGGTAGGACTTGTCCTGGTCAAGTGTGCGGTAAACGCGAGGAGTGAGCGGTAAGCAGAGGAGATGCAGTGAGCACTAGACTAGCTGGTGATGGCTGTCCCGTGCAGCACGGCAGGTGCTTAAGAGCAATGAACGGACAAAAGTGTGTCCGCCTCGCCCCAGGGAGGGACAATTGGCCTCGGTTGAGCACATCAACATCGTCTATAAACACGCCCGGCGCCTGTTGCCCTCGCGTTCAAAATCCGTAAACGCGCGCCCACACCCGGTGGACATGTGG